ATGCATTCAGGAGTGCTATCAATATTTTATGAATCACTGGAAGTATTAACAATACAGAAGTTTTGCTCATTAGGCTGCCTCTAGCATCTTGTCAGCTTCCCATGGTGCTTACATGTGACTAACAACACGGATGGCAGACCTTCCCATCAGGTTTGTGCTCTGGTAGGAAACCTCACACCCCAATTACACAGTTTCTAAAAGGAAAAAATGCAGAAAAATAAATGGAGAAAATGTCATTGCAACACCCATGGCTGCTCTAGTCACACAAATTTCTTGTTAATGATTGACCATTTAGCAGTTTTTATATGCTTCTTACCCAGAGGATGCTGTTCTTGACTGCAGTCAGACTTTTGATTTAACCCAAACCAAGTGAGAAAAATAAACACTAGGGTCACTCTTGCCTTTGAACAATTTAAGGCATGTGTGTGAAGTCCAGAAGATGTTTGGTGAAGTTAGGAAGCCATCAGCAGTCACTGCATGGGCTTACACTGTGTTATTTTGTGGTAGTGAGAGCTCTGGATTTCTTCATCCAAATGTGGGATGTATTATCTATTTTTCCCTTACCTTCTCTTTGAGTGCCCACTTTGTTTATTCCTTTCTCTAATGTATTTTTCTGTTCTTTCTATCCTTTAATTCATGGCAGAGATCCCTGCAACCCTCTGTGACTCCACTTGGTGCATTTTGACTGCTTGTGCCATGTAAGGCAGGTCATTGGTGCCAGGTGAAATACCCCTGGGAGACTGGCACAGGCCCTTCTGGCAGGGATGGGAGAGAAAGGGCCTCCTTTCTCCTGCCTGCACGCAAGGTGCAGGTGCCAGCCAGCATCTTTGATACAACATTGACTTAGATAAAGAAATTCTGCAGAGAAAATCCCGATTATTTCTGTAAGATGAAGTTACAGTGGCCAAAGCACATCTGATGGTGCAAGTCCAGTCGTGGGCCTTCCACATATCTGTCTGGGGTACCACCTGGAAATCCTAGATTTTCCAGGAACTAGAGGCACCACTGCTAACCACTTGGCTAAAAACTTCCATTTGGACCTACTGTAGTAGTGCTGTGTACAGCTGAACAAAGCAGAGGAACCCCAGCACCAACCCCAGATGGGGATTTGTGGGGTGAGGGAGGCAGGATGTCACTGGGAGTGCAGAAGGCACATTATCACCACCCATCTTCTACCTTCTGCCACAGCTTTCTTTGTGGATCCCCAAACCCTCACATTCCTCACCCCCGTGCCAAGGCCAGCAGGATCATCATCCCCACTCGATGTTTTGTGGCCTCTCTGCCCCACACAGGCCCTTAGGGGTACCAAACTGCTACTTCTGCCTCACTGAGACTGGCTTATCTATGAGGAAGAGCTGCAAAATATCTGGAGTGTAGAAAGAGCTGGTTTTGTCATTGTTTCACTACTCCCATTTCCCAGTTTGATGCTTCCTCCCAGCTGTGGAGCTGCACCTCTGCACAAGTGGACAGTGTCACAAATTATAACTCTTGCCCAAGAAGACCTAATGACAGGGACTCTTATTTTACAGGGTGTCACAAAAACAGAGGGTCTGGAATCCTGGGATTCCAGTTTTGGACAACACTTTAGAAGATAAATGAGGAGACTAATTATCTTAATTTATTCCATAATTATTTTAATTATTAATCACTTCCTTCTTTCTTACCTATTATCAGGTTTACAGGTGGGAGTGTTCCCAAGTCCTGAATGCAGGCTCTGCCCCTGGCATGCTCCTGTGACTCACCAAGTTGGTCTTTTTCTCTTCCCACACCTTTCATAACTAGACTTTCTTGAAGCTGCATCATTGCTTCTGGGGATGCAGTAAGGAGGCTATACAGGCATCCCTAAGCTGACTCACTTGGGAGAAGATGTCTTGCTCCTTCTGCAGCGTAACCTCTGTGGATGGTTTTAGACAATGACAGGGCCAGCTCTGGTAAAAATTCATGGACAGTGTAGGCCATGGCTCCTGGGTTAGCAAATAAGCTTTTTTTTCAGGCAAAGACTTTTTTCAGAAGTATTATATGAGTTTAAGGAAGGCTTTGTAAGGGTTTTCACACAAGATATTTGCTCTTTGCTGCTTTGGCCAAAAATGACCACGTGAAGCTGGGACCTGCTAAGGCGGCACCCACCCAAAAGCAAAGGCTGGCTCCAGCTGTGCTGTGGGACAAGAGCTGCACAGCACAGCCACACTGCACCAGACAATGCCAATGCCTCACTGGCCACCCAGGGTGGCTCCTTGGCAGATGCTGGTGGCACCAGGCACCCTGCAGCTCAGGGACAGACGGTGGTGGCCATGCTGAGAGTCTCTGTATGTGGGTGTGGTGCATTCACAGTCTTCCAGGGGAGGTGCTGCTGCCAAACTGTGATGGGCAGGGAGGAGGGAGCTGTGCTGAACGCGTGGAGGCAATGAAGCCATGTCCTGGTGTCACAGGCGCACGGGAAAGAGAGGACTGAGAGGGAAGCGCTGACTGAGGCATGAGCAATAAGTAAATCAGGGAAGCAGGAAAAGACAGATAAGGAAGTTGGTGCTCACTCAGCAAGAATCTGCAGCAGTGAGGCCTGTTTATATGTATTAGTTGATAATATTTTGATGAGAAACTCAGGAAGACCGTGACCTCCATTTTACATCACACAGCCCTTCTCTGCTTCTTCCTGTCACCCACAGGCAGGTTTTCACATAAGGCAGGCATCTTTCCAGCTCTGGTTTCAGCATCAATAACTATCACCATTTTCTAAGGCCACAAGTATGTAGCAAATAATAAAACCCTCAAATCTCACAGAGGAAGGAGTTCAGGCCTGGAGATTGTGCAAGCTAAGTTCTGACTGTGTCAAAGGGAAGTGAGAAAGAAGCAGTCTCTGGGTGGAGATAGAAACAACATGTGTTAAAGGGAGATAACTGCATATGGAACTTGTCCGTTTGGACACAGATCAGATCCTCGATCCTCAAAGCTCAGGAACATCTTCCATCTTTGGTGATTAAAAAATGGTGATTGTAGCGCTGAACTGCAGAAACAGAAAATAATCTTGCCTTACCCTATTAACAGCAAGCAGCTCCAAGTGTCATAGCTAGAAAGGTGTTCCAGAAATATGAGAATTACTGAGACAATGGTATCATCTGCCATATGAGCCTCACACTCTGCCTCAGTTCTGTCCCTTTTAGATAGGCCAATGTATGATAGGCTAAGCACTGACCAGGAGGCTTTGTTATGACACATACAGTAAATATGATTTTTTTGCCCTTGAAAACATGTACAATCTCAAACTGGTTCACTCCCCATTCTTCTCCATCTAATTTCTTTTTATCTACTTCTATTTACATCTCAGAACACTAAACTGTGTTGGGTTTTGGCTCCGTGAATAGGCACAGGGAAGCTGCAGTGAGCTAGAAAGCTGAATTTTATCTTTCACTGCGAGGTTGGGAGTGCTTTAGCTTGCTGTATTGTGCTGTCAGTATCTCAGTATTATCCTTTAACCTGACAACAAAAAACCTCCCAGTCTGTATTTGTTCCTGATGAGAGAAATGCAAGGAGAGAAGGAAACACAGACTAATCTTTTTACTTCATAAGAGATCAGCAAAGTGAACATTTTTTTTTTTTTTAATTTTTACAAGGTTTTTAGCTATTAACATAAGCAATTTATATTGCTTATGTTAATATAACGTAAGCATATCATAAAAAAATTAACATCAGGGCTGCCCTTTTAATAATTACAAGCAAAGTTATTACAACTGAAGAGTCGTAGCCTATCTTGCCACAGGAATTATTATGTATATTATCCTGGTTATTTACACATTGTAATTAACTGGGACTGTTTTGGTGCTTTGAAAATGTGATTTGTTAGCACTTACAGACACTTACCAAGATACAAACCCATGTAAAATGTATGTAAGTGTTAAGGATTCAGTTTGCTGAGATCTAACTAATGTTTTGATGAAAGTTTTCAATTTCCTGTCTCTAATCCAAGGGGCTTTTATATACATTAAATATAAAATGAGTTCATATTTAAAAGACTGATGAAAAATAGCTTACCAGGTATTCTGTATGCATTAGTCCTAATTTTTCTCAGGCCTGAATGCATCATCGTAACAACAGCAGTGAAAAGTCTTGTGCCATCTCTGAGTCTCAAATTCCCATAATGCAGAATAAAGGCAAAGGGACCTGCACAAGCTGTTTTATCCATGTACTTCCTTACCTTGCCCTGCTGACGTGGTGCAACATTTTCAAAGGAGTCTGATGTTCACCTCTTGTAGAGAGACAGACTTTCCTATAAACTGGTCCTGCATCAGACTGAGAGCTTTAGCCAGCTGCAAGCCACCTCTGCAAGGATAAACTATACTACACTGTCATAAGGGGTTATTAACTGGTTCTACTTAATACCATCACCCTTTACAGAAGGCATGTTGCAACTGATCTACCTCAGCTGATCAGAGGCACTTGATTCATTAACATGTATTATGATTAATTTGAGCTGGAGGAGGTTAGGACTTTGACTTTTAACAAAAACTTATCCAACGATTCCCGCAACAGAAGAGAGGCACACGTTGAAACACAAACTGCAAGAATCCTTATAATACACAGGTGATGGAGAGAAGTAGTGAGACCAAAAAATTGTACTTCCTAGCTGAAATCCTGGAAGAAGAAACAGGTGCAAAATAGTTTATTCAGGTGTGGCTGTATGGAATGTAAAGAGACTCAGTAAAGGAATGAGGTGCGAGTAGGATGAAATTCCCAAAGGCTGCTCTTGTAATGTGGCTGTGGGGTATTACTGCTGCTAAACTACCTTCCTTTTCCCCTGGTGATGAATTATCAGCAGTTAACGTAAGATTAACTGAAAGAGAAATCTCATAACAGAGAATACAACAGCATATGCATTTTATCTGATTTTTCTCATCCATACACATAAATGGTAAATAAAAAAACCCATAATCAACTTGAATATAAACACTATGTTTTCATATTTAGTAGATGCATGGAGTATAGGCTGGCAAGCTTAGCTGCTCACATGGTGTCAAGAATTTTTGTGTTATGGTGTCTGTGCATGCATGTCACGTGCCGGTTTAGGGCGAGAGGATATTATGAAAGAAGCAGTTCATACTGACATTTTCCAAGCCTGAAGCAGAATCACTTGGAAAAAAATTCTAGGTAAAATGGCTTAGCTGTTTCTGAGAATTGGATTTGGAAAATATGTTGTTTTGAATGGATTAAGCCAAAAGGTCTAATTTTTTCCTAGAGAAGCTCCAAGATGGTCAGGTTTTATTTGGCTGAAATGGCATCAGCAGTGCATCTTTCGTCATCCTTGTCAATTTGCCCAAATCAGGCAAGTTACACTATTTAGAAAGCAGCACCAGTTTGCCCATGCCAGCTAGAGACATGCCAGTGTGCAGGTACTGAATCCAGACAGTAATCTGAATCCTGTGTGCCACCAGGGCTCTGTCAGGAAGCACCTTGCTTGGAGGCTCTACAGCTCTGACTCCTGGCTTTGCAGACCTGGGAATAGCATGGGGCATCCAGAGTGAGGTGAGTGCTGATGGGGGAGAGTGGAGCAAGGAGCTGGAGTGGAAGAAGTGGAGGTACATGGGAACAGGAGGAAGATATGAACTCTGGCTGGAGGATGGGCAGGCTGGTGCTGACTATAGAGTCAGCACCCTTGCAGTACTTAAATTCTATACTGCTAAATTCCCTGAGACACATAGGCAGCAGATTCATTATTCACTTGAATTCCTTGTGGATAATCCCACTCCCACACCATATTGTGATCTTGCCAATATCAACAATCCTGGCACTTCTAAGAAAGTAAATAATTCTTTAATAAAAGCATTACTGATTCGCTAAGATAAAAATTCCACATGGCAGAGAGACATGGAAGACAGGTTTATTGTGCTGGACAACCATGAAAGTAGGTCAGATACATGCTTTCTGTAGATTCTTGATGGCTGTCACGGTGTGACAGCTACAGAAACAATTGTGGCAAAGCTTCCACTTTTATTTCTTGAACAGCTTTCTCATATAGATTCCTCCTACAAAAATAAAAACGAGAAAGAACAAATTCTAGAATTTTTTTTTGCCACACTAATCAAGGCAGATAACAGGGAAAAAGAGAAGAACCAGGCAGTGAGGAGGCCAACAAAACTAATCTATTATGAAAGTGTATGCCAAGTCCTTTTGGAGAATGCAGATTTTTACAGCTGGGAAGGAATGAGGATTCCAAAGTTCACTTTCGTGGCTGTTCAGTGGTAAATAGAATTCCTAGTGAAGAGATGGATGGCACTGGGGAAGATGAAAGAAAACATCCTGAAAACAACGCACACAGTTCATTAGCCAGGACAACCAAAGGTGTTGCTGGGCTACTGCACGTTGCTATTATAGGTAAGTACATTCCACATCAAGATTTTTCACCCAATTAAGAGAAAAAAAGGAAAAAAAATAAAAAAAGGCAAGCATAAAATAATCTAGAGATTTGTTGGCAGTTGGTATCTGGAGATAAAATGCAGCAATTCCTTTAGCTTGACAATGTGACAAAGACATGATAAATTCCCTCACAACTGATACTGCTATCAGACAATAATATTCAGCTTACTAGATAAGTAGCCTGAGCACAATACTTGAATTAAAGCATTTAATTCAATTTACTAAAGTAAAAGAGTTAGGAAGCATTCTGTAATACACAAATGACCTCTTGACCTCTTTAAGAATAGCATGTTTTTTGTTGGTTTTTTTTCCTTTTTTTTTAATCAAGAGGTTTAAGGTATCATCACTTCAGGAAAAGCTTCTGATTCTTGAAATTATAAAGTCCTTGTGACAATAAAACATGCTTAAAATATTCATTCAATTCATTTGTTTCATTAGACTAAGTGCCACCACATTTTGCTACCAGCAAACTGAAAACATAATTTGAGGGAATAATCTGAATTAATACTTTCTGAAATAGGAATCTGTTGTATTTTACTGTTAGAAAGAACTATTCAGACTTGTTTCCTTATGAAATAGAACCCTGCTTTTCTTTAGTACAGAATCAGTTATTTATCACAACCAGGAATAATGATACATTCCTAATGCTTCTGCACCCACCCCTGCTACAAGGGACACTAGAAAAAGCCCTTGCAGACTAGCAACTCTAGTCATTGTATCGTCCCACATGGTGATTTTTGTTACCACTTAAGCCCTCTTGTGTAAATAAAACAACTGTGAGATTACAAGCAAGATACTTGCTTTCCCAGAAAGGTGTGCACAAGCACAGTTACACAAAAAAGCTGGTGAAGAGTTCCAGATGGATTTGTGTCTACGGTTACGTTCTCTTCCAGCCTATGCCTGAAGCACGTGCCCAGCACACCACTTCTCCATCACTTTCCCTGGCATCAGTAAGGAGCGGGCTGACACTGCAGCTGGCATCAGAGGAACTCTCTTCCTGTACTGTGTGCCTTCACACAACTTGTAAGACTTCTTCATATTTTTCCGTATGAAATTTTACCAAAATTAACGAAGAGGGTCAAAGATCAGTAGGAAAAGGGAGAACCATCTGAGAAGCTTCATTTTTGTCAGGAAAAAAAAATTTAAAAAATCATGCTCCACATTTGAAAAAAAACCAATTCCAGATTAAAAAAAATGTTTTTGCTTAACGATAATTTGCACTCTGCCAGTCTGAGAAACACTGTAAACCAACCTGATCATGCACTGACACTGAACTAGGTAACTGGTGTATCCCACTGCCTCCATTCTTCAATGCTTGCTGCTACAGCTGTAGCTCACCTCAAACAAGCTTTCTGCAGCCACATGAACTTTACTGGTACAGGTATCAAAACAGGCAGTTTAGCACTAGCCCAGCTATTCTTTCAGGAAATGCAGTCAACACCTTTACTGGAATACAGCATTAACTCACAAAAAGGCTGCAATGTTTTCAGATGCATTTGTTTCTACCTTACTGGGACAGAAACACATTTTATTCCAGAGATTGATGAAGGCAAGAACTGAGACTGGGTGAATTCTCTACCAAATTGCTTCTGGGTCTTCTTACCTGCCTCCATCCATTCCTTACAGAGAGGATTTCATGCTGGCTGCAATTAAGGATACCATAAATTCAAGCTGTGCTAACAAGTAAAGGTTTGAAGTTCATCAGAGGCACTTAAAACCCCTTATGATTAAAATCCACAATTCTGAACCACCACTAAATACACACTTATTTAATCTAATACAATTAATTTTCCACCAAATGTACCACAAAGGAAAAAATTCATGCAACATGAACCTTCATTCTTCCCCAAGGAGTATGTTTTTACAGAAGTACAGATGTTCCTTCAGCTCCAGATAAGCAACTAGAGTATGCCCAGATACAAGGAGCAGGAGATGGTGACATGGGGCATCTTCTTCATTCAGTCCCATATTGATAGGTCAGCTAAGTTTTGATTCTTTTGCCCTATCTCTAGTTTGCAAGAGAGATTCAAGAGAGACTTGAATCCAAAAGGGATGAGATTTTACTCTTTCTGCAGTCAAATTGTTCCACATTGGTTGCATTATGCCCTTTGCTAGGATTACAGTTGATGGTCTTGCTCCAAGGGTTCAAAGGATATTTTACACATTCTTCTAGCTCTCCATGGAAATCAGAGGAAGGAGGTGGAAGCAAGTACAAGGAAACATACACAGAACAGCTTAAGGCATCTAAAATTTATAATTAATTAAAAAGGTGCATCCTACAGTTTGGCATTTTGAATCACTTTCTGATTTAAGGCAGAAGAAATCTGCCTTCACAGACCACACTGAAACTGATCTAGAAAGCCACCACATCCCAAGCAAGTTCCTTCCACCTGACATTGCTTTTGCCCTTATGTTTTCTCCTTACACATCAGAGCAGACTGAACATCTCCCTTAAAGCAAGAAATGGTCTCCCAGAGCAGGCACAGAGGATCTCAAACAATACAGCACTTTGGTTCTGAGCTCTTTCCTTTACGTGCTGTGTTCAAATCTGACACGACCAGCCCCCTGCAGTGTTGCAATTTCTAACACTTTCAATTCTCAGATTTCAGAAATGTTCAGGGACAGGAAAAATACCTCTTCCTACTAAAGAAAATAAATTAGTCCTCAACTTCCCACAATGCCTAAAAATTCTTGCTCCCTTGGGTGCCTTAACCAAGAGATTTAAGGTACCATGTAAATAAATCCCACATAATGTCCAAATTATTTTCAGGTACTAAAAATTGTAGGCTGCTAGACACAGTCTGAATCTGAAACTTCTTGCTGAGTTCATTCAGACACTTGAAAGCACACATTCCCGTAAGAGGGGGAAAGAAAGTGAGAAAAATGGAGACGCTGCACCTTGATTGTTTTTAAACAAGAGTGCACATTTTTCATATTAGACTGCACTTTAAACTGAACTAAATATCACCTAAGACTCCTCATAAGAGTTTATTTGCAGTCAGGAGATTAAGATTTCAGAACAGTCTTCTAAGAATGGAAGGGGAAAAAAAAGAAAACTTTGCTGTAAAACCAGAAATTGATTCAATTACGGACATACTGGTGCCTGTGAAGTAGATTATTAACTATGATCTCTGGTTTTTTTCCAGTCTTTAAAGAAAGGAATATATACTTTAACAGCAGGATCTTTAAAAAACTAGTATGCTATAAATATTATTTCAACTTCAGATGATGTATGTGCAATATTACATATAAATGCAGTCACACCTCTCAAGAGCACAGCACTTCTAATTTGAGAGAAAACACTTCAGAATGGTGGAAACATCAGCACTAATAAACCAGATTAATAGAGGGATACCTGAGAACTACAAGGGCTCTCGGACATCACAGAGCTCTAGCAAAAAGAACATCTGAGAATGCATGAACACTGTTCAATGAAACAGGACTTTGTGTGTGTCATTATCTAGTATCCCTCACTGGAAACAACTAACTCCAACACTATTAATCATCTGCCAGATTGAATACAGTTATCTTATTCCAATAATTCTTATTCCAATGTATCTTCCAATATCTTATATTAGAATCTTATATATTCCAGTATCTTATTCCAATAATTTGGGTTTTTTAGAGTGCCTCAAAAGCTGAAACAAAATCAGTGAATATGTTCTAGGAAGAATTACAGGCAATGTAAAAATGGAATTCCTAATAAGGAAACCAATGACCACAAAAATCAACCTAATCCAGAACTGTCTCTTTTCAGTAACAAAGAAGTAAATTCATAGAACAGAGATACACTATTTCAACTCTAGCACACAAGGTGACTCTGAAGAACTCCGTTTGAGGGCAGAAAATTTCATCTAAGTTTTCATCCACAGTGAGACTTCAGAGCAAGAAGAAACCAACACTTTCTCTGCAACCTGTCCAAGTCACAGCTGTAACAACTGCCAGGGAAAGTCCTGGCATCAATGTCTAAAGCCATGAAAATGCCCCCAAACAGACAAAACCATGCTATCTAATTCTGACTCAAATACTCAGAGGTGGCAGAAAAAATGGACTCCGATTCATTTTATGACAAACTGCAGCTGATGTTGGTCAAGAACTGCTCAAGACTGTATCACCATTGGGTTCAAAGCCACTACCACAGATTGAAAAGAACACAAAAATATACCTGATCAATTGCAAATCACAAGCTGCAGAAGAGACATAGCTCAGAGACACTGCAATGCAACAAGTCACCTTGTGAACAGCTGGCAAAGAATGCATTAGCTGCAGGTTCAAGAGACAATATTACTATTTGGATCGTACTTCTAAATGAATGTGATACCAAATTACCTCAACATTTAAAGATTTATCATAGGATCACTGGAGTGCCACAGTATATATAGGACAAGCTTATATTTTAGCTTTGCCATGAATTTATTAAGCATCTTAAATGCTGACCCATACAGTGAATCAGACCTCTTGTCTGGAACTGTACAAATGTGATAAAACCTTCTGAAACTCTCAATAAGAAACAGTAATCAAAAAATTTTTAAACCACTTTATTCAAACCTGAGCACCTCAATATAAAACTAAACACTGGTGAACTGTCATTTTTCTTGCTAAACCCAGATTACTGCAAATTTAAAATCTGCACAAGTAAGTTTCTATCAGTTCAACATTTAAATAGACTAATTCATCTCTTCTGACACACTTTGTAGATTTCATATAATGAAAATAACTAAACGAATTAGTGCAATATACTGGACTGATCAAAATAAAATGTACTTTGGAAAACAAAGTTGCGAAGTTCATTACTGACAGACAGCAGTACTTATGTTACAGATACAGGAGCATCATTTATTACTGTTCTAGCCATAAAGGAAGAACTCAGAACCCCCTTTGATTAGAGAGGAAAAAAGTTAGCTTTAAGTAACTGTACATTCTGTATACCTTTAAGCAACTCTTAAATATTACAGAAAGTATTAAACAAATGTAGACTACAATGCAGAGTACCTATTTACAGTACATTAATATCCAAATTTAAAATCAAGTTGGATGTACATAATTGTTAGTGCACTATGTTTTTTTCCTTAGGGGAAAAACAAACTGTAATGGCCAGCAATGATCAGAAACAAGAAAGAAGTCACAGACACCAAGTTTGTTGTGGTTTTACTTGAAGAGCTCTTACAGTTTGTAGAGGACAAAAAAACCCATATCCTAAGTTGTAGAGTTGAATTTACTGGTCTGTACCCTCTGAACAGATTAGAAATTAAGTTAGACTTGATTCATCACTAATTCATTAAGATAACTAACTGGGTTGATATAATTTACATACAGTGTACCAACTAAAACTCCACTTTCTGGCAAGCATAGGATTCTTAAAATTGTTAATGCAAGTATTATTTGTAATAAAATTATTAACCTATGGAATGTATAACTAAACAGTGGATACCTGCAGAAACAACTGGTTGCATCAATACTGCAAATAAGTTTAAGTAATTTTTAGACCCTGTTTCTAAGGAGGTTTTAAAGCACAATTGAAAATTATGAAAAGACCCAATTCTATTTATTATAACAGTGATCAGTATCGAGGCTACAGGAACTGGCCAATTAGGTCCACAGAAAGTATTTCTTCTACACCCCTAATAATAACAACTGATTTTTAAAACCTTTCAACTGAAGGAAGTTTATTCCACTTCCATCTCTCCTCTACTGCTGAAACATTACAGCCAGTGGTGGATACATGCATGTTAAAATTTTAGGTCAAAAGAAAACTCTGTATCATGAACTTGACTATTATCGTAAGTCTCTTCGCTGTTTGGAAGCTGTACTGGACCAGGTTAAGCACTCCAATTCCATGGTTATTAACAGTTAGGAAGCAGAAGAATATTCAGAACAGTTTAAAGCAATTGATCTTTTAGTTACTACAACATTGACTCTTGGGTGGTTGTGTGGGTTCAGTAAGGTCTACTCCTCTTCCTCTGGCAGAGCTGGCTCCTGCATTCTGTGGTTCATTCTTGGGCAATTTTTTTGCTGCAAGGTGAACAGGAAGTAAAGAATTAAACCTGAGATTTTACTAAGATTGAATCACCAGAATAAACAGAACAACACATTATAGGCATATCAGTATACTCATTGTATAATCAGATTTGATTCAGGGCATTCGTAATGGAAGAAGTGAAGACACTTTACTTCTTAATGGTTAGCTACTTTGTCTGTGATTTCCAGGAGTGAAATACATTGGTAAGTCGAGCAGCAAAATGTATCTGCACAGGTGTCCTATGCCAGCAAATGACAGCTCTTGTGGGAATCCACCCACACAGAACAGGCTTTAAGATCAGGATATTAATGCAAAAATATAGAGTAATATTGAAAAGGCACAAAATACAGACAGAAATGGGTCAAACAGTTCCCAGATATCCAGCCAGAATAAGTGTTTGCAGACAACATG